CGATTTGGAGGCGAAGCCATCAATGACGCTCAAGAACACCATCAACCCTGCAAAGATCAAAGATGCTATCCGATCTGCGCTGGGGGCTGATACTGGTCACTTGTCGTGGGCGGAGGCGGTAGTACAGACCCCTTCGGAGAAACAACTGGAAGAGGAAGATGGCAAACTGCATCCCGGCCCAAGGGCTCTGTTTGGATCGGACGTCATGGAGAAGGGCAGTAGCATAGTCTTCTGGGGTGGTGTAGATGCGAAAGGGGAGAGAGTCGGTGATGGTTGGGTCGCGAGTTTCGAGTAAGCGAAGGGTGCGTCACGACATTTATGGTGTCTATGCATGCAGGATGTGCTAGCACTTTGAGGTCGCCTTCACTTCCATAGTGTAGAGATCTATTTGGCGACGGATATCCCACAGTGATAAGAGCAGAGACGAGAACAGCATCATATGCTCAATCGAGCAACGATACCTAGCCCTTTATGCGAATGGACTAGTACTTCAGGTCTTCCGATAGGCTGTCGAGATTGTCACCGTGTCGAGATCCTCTAGCCCAGTGTCCGAGTAATGGGGCACGTGGGGAGATTACAGCCTTGGAATGCCTCGGTGGCAGACAGGAGTTCGGTTTCATGGAAGCTACGTCTCACAACGTCTGTCATGGAAACATGTGGTGTTGCTGTTCTTTGTGGCCAAGAAACGAGAGTGCAAGTGGGGGCCAGCCACGTGAAACAATGCAGCATGTGAGTTTCAACAAAAGTGCGTTCAGTTCATTACATCAAAGAATAGTGAATGCGAGGGCAGTCACAGGCGGGTAACGCGGCTTTATTCTATATACACAAACCCTAATCCCTCTGATAAATACCCGCTATCCAACAAGCTCTCAATAGCGCAAGACCCCATGCCATGCCAATACTATCCCATACAACATTTAGCTTACTACCCATGACCTCCTTCCACCCGATGGCCACCTCAATCATGGCAATGTCAGCACTCTCGGCCAGCATCAGCATCTCGACGTCGAAGATCCAGCCTTCCGAGTGCATGTAGGGGACAATATAGGGAAGTGCTGGTCGTGAAAACAACTTGAAGCCGCACTGCGTGTCCTTGATGCGTGCGGTGGCCGGAGGCGTCATGATGCGAAGGAGGATGTGGAACGAGTGCATCAAGAAGTTGCGGAGTTTGGAGCGCTGAACAACGGCTTCGCTGCCGACGAGATGAGCTCGGGAGCCGATGGCAACACCGCGCCCATGCTTGTCCTCGATGCTCTGGCAGCCTTCAACGAGAGCCGCTAGGTCCGAGAACCGACTCGCGCCATCCGCGTCGGCGAAGACAATGTACTGGCCTCGAACATGTCGCATGCCGTGCGTGACTGCGCCGCCTTTGCCTCTGTTCTCTTCGAGCGTGACGACGCGAATACTGCCGTGTGGGATGTGTGTTGAGTGCGCGGCCTTGGCGTCGCCGTTCTTCGACCACGGCCCTGGCTTCGACTTGGGGTGTTGGGCGAGTTGGTGCTCCTTTGCAAACTCCAGCGCTTTGTCGACGGTGCCGTCAGTGCTTCCATCGCTAACAACGAGTATCTCCCATCCTCTCTGGCTCTCTTCACCCTTGCCGCCAGCATGCGCATCACCGTATTGGCTCTCCAGGTAGTCGACAGCCTCCTCTAACATGCCTTCCAGCCGCTCCTCCTCGTTGTATGCGGGGACCACGACGCTCATGAAGAGCTCCGGTTCTTCGATGGGCATTTGTGGCGGTATGACGACTTTACTTCCCGGCTCCTTCGCGGCTTGTTTCTTGGCGGCTTCCTTCTCTGCTGCCCATTTGTCCAGCCAGCACGGAAGTTCTTTTGGGTCGCTTCGTGCACCGTCGGGTAGTATCGTCGTGTATTGTTTCTCGGAACGCCGTGGCAGTCGCGGAGTGGGCGCGAGGAGGTTCAATGCTATATAAAGCTGTCACTCATGGTCATTAGTCGCGTGCACGTTGTCATGTAGGCGCTTGTGTCCGTACCCAAAAGCCCATGGCGCATAGCAGAAAGCCCAAGCCTACGAGAAGCACCCAAGTTGGGGGCATTTCAATAGCATGCTTCGGGTGCGACTCGAAGCCGTAGCCTGCACCCAATCTCTGGGTATCGAAAGCGCGGTTCTCTTTCGACATGGCGGTTGCGGGGCCCTGACGAGGGCTTGTCCAGTGATGGTGCTACCGGAATGCTGTTGACATTGAGTCGGGATCGCGACCGCTGAGACCGGAACTGGCGGCGGATGGAAAGGTGTGCAATACAAAAAGGGAGACGCTGTAGTGGTCGCGCGATGGCCAATTGGCACGGGAAGATGCAACGTGGAGGCTGACGTACCTGACGGCCCGAGGTTCGTTAGTCAGCCTCGTTCTGCTGCGGCGCCCACCACCACAGCTTCTCCGCGTTGTCTTGTACTCCCTAGGCAGCTACTGCAGATATTTCACGCAAAAAACACCTAGATTTGTTGCCTCCAATTTCGCAAAGTCGTGTTGGCTGCTCCCTGGGCCGATGAGCTCAGAAGATGGCTCCCATCAGCGCTGAGTTTGGCAGAGTGGCACACACTGAAGTCTCGACGTACCCTTTCATACGGCGGCACCAGCAACGCACATATTGGTCGATAGCAAGCCGTGGGCAAAGGTCTCACGATGCGAGGTGCAATATGCGCTAGAACAAGTGTTCAACGTTACGTTAACATAAAGTATACAGATATGCAGCCTAACGACAACCCGGCGGTTTCAAAATGCCAATCCAAACACCATCGCTGTCTGTACATATGCGTGCGCGAAAAATGGATATTGCTGTCCAGAAAATCTAAGGATCCGAAAGAAGTGCGACTGAAGCGCCAGCATGAAGAGAAGCAAGCTATGCTTCTTGTTCATCTGATCGTGTAACGCGTTTGTCCTCTCCGTCTGTATATACTGTAACGTGTCAGAATCAGCCTGGTATGTAGGTGTGGTTGAGCACTCACCATGTGGACGAATGAACCAACTGCACAGGAACGCAGTCCCGAAAGTCGCTGCAAGACATACGAAAACGGTTTGTCTGTACGCGCCGACAGTGGCACTGTAGATACCGTTGAAGATGGTGGGCCCCATCACACGTGCAACAGCATGAAGTAAGCCCGTGGCACCTAACAGTTGACCGACCTGATCTTGCGGCACATGTTTGGTCAATGCAGCGCCAAGAGTGGGCGAACCGATACCGCCAATGGCAGCAATAGCGCCAGAGAGTGCGAAGAGCTCGCCTTTGCGGACAAGGGCATATCCGAGGAAGCCAGCCATGTCGAAGAAGATGGCTGCACGGATAATGGAAAGGTCGAATAGGTCAGAACCTGAACTGCGCATGCGGGCAGCCCCATTCTTCCCGCGGAAGATGCGGGTCAGAATCGGCAGAATGACTAGAAGAGCAAAAACACGCGAGCTGTTCACGATAGTGGTGAAGCGGCCGCTTTCTAGCTCATGCCAATCAAATTGGCGGCGCGTGTAGACGAGGACAACGCTCATGGCACCCATTGCGACACCAAACATGATGGTATCGGTAGCGGCCAACAGAAGCAGGTTCCAGCGCAAAGCCGACGAGGTGCCAGTCCCAGTCGGCCAGAGAATCTTCAGCGGGCCAAACAGGTTGATAGAGCGTAGCTGGTTGATGAAGTCGCCGGCGGGACCCTGTCGTTCCACTTCCTCTCTGCGCTTCTCACGTGCGGCTTCCTGGCGTGCTTTGCTGAGCGATTCGGGGACAAGGAAGGCAAGGAATGCAATGAAGATCAAGTGGGCACCAAGGGCCATGTAGAAGATGAGCAAAACGGCTTCGGTCTTGCCAACGTACTTCTGGCGCGCATTGATGATGTAGCCTGCCAGCGCGGGTCCGATGGCGATGCCGCCAAACAAGCAAGCGTGGAAGTAGGAAAAGGCGACGTTTCGCTTCTGTGGTGCAACGCAGTCGGAGGCATACGAGTGGGCACATGCCATGCCGACGATGAAGGATCCCGATACGCCCTCCAAGCAGTAGCCAACGAGTATCCAGTTGACGTGCACCGTGTCGGGGAATTTGGCGGCCAGGATTGTGAGGACCTCGCCAAAGAGGGCGCCGCAGGTGTTGGCTATCATGAACTTCTTGCGCCCGTACCGATCCGAGAGGGCGCCAATCTTTGGGCTGATGATGGCGGAGAGTATGCCGGAGCACAAGCTGGCGTACAGGAGGAAGAGGGAGGAGCGCGAGGACACGGCGTCGTTCTGGCATCGGTCCTGGCCCGGGTCCATGGGAGAGGATATGGGGTCGGTCTCTAGGGTCGCGTAGTACTCCTCGCAGACGAGGTCCATGATCAGGTTGATCTTGGGCACGATGATGCCGCCAAACGCGATGGTGAAGAGCAGGAAGGGAGGCAGGAGCCAGAATATCTGCTGCCGTCAGTCGATGCGCCCTCGACGCGAGGGGCTGCGGGGGCGTACTGAAGGGCGCTTCCACCAGGGAAGGCCGCGAAAGTCGGCATCGCCAGCCCATTGCTCGTGCCCGCTGGCAGCCGGCGAGGCACCCAGCAGCGGCGCGTCCTCGTCGTCGCTGTCGGGGCCCGGTGTCCTGGGCGTCTTGGAGCCATGGGCGCGCGCCCTCAGCTGCTGCTCGATGTCGGTGTCCTCGACGAAGGCGGCGTCGGTGTTGGAGGCCATGGCGAGGGCTGTGTGTGGTTGAGCTGGCGTCGTCGTGGGCGTCGAGATCCGGGGTTGCGTAGCGTCGTGTCTGGGCTAGGGGGCCGCGCGCATGGCTACAAGTCGACGGCCAGGCTAACGAGCGCGACTGTAATCATCTTCGGCGTCGGGTGCAAGCGCGGACGGCAGCTTACCAACAACAGAGTGCTCGCGTCATGACGTTGCGATAGTGAATTATCACATCCCACCCATCGGCCTCTCGGGTGCACTGAGCCTCCGCCGCAGCTAGCGCTTCCCTTTCGTTGGCCACAGCCGGACACTTGTTGCGTCTTGCATCATCTGTGCAGCACGGTAGCTTTCATTTCTCGCTTGATTTATCCCGCCACATCTCAATGACGCCCTGCAAGTCCTGCAGCCTCGTTGGTCGAACAAGGTAGTTATCTACACCCGAAGCATACGCAGCATTGCGGTCTTTTTCGCTCACCAGCCCGGTGAGTGCGCATATGTACGTCCTCTTACACCCTGACCGCGCTTCCGTCTTCCGTATCTCCCTCGCAACCTCGAAGCCCGAGACCTCGGGCATAGAGAGGTCGAGGAAAATGAGATCGAAAGGTTGCGGAGCCGTGTCGTCGCTGGACCCGTTGGCGTTCTTGAAGGCATCGATGGCCTCTTGGCCACCGCCGACAGGTGTTGCACCTGCCTTGCTACACTTTTTTGCATACATGGCAAGAACCTTGAGGTTTACAGCGTTATCGTCTACCAGCAGCAGCCTAGGCTCTGCCACAGCTGCCTCTGGTGATGTACAGACTGCCGCCTCTTCTGCTTGCTCAGTATGCGCTTGTACGTCTCGGTGGTCGGGTTGGGCTCCATTAGACCTTGCTGCCATGTTCATCTCTGGAGTGACCGCTGGGCTGGCGGCTGGCATTGCCAGTGGCTGCCCACCGCTTTCCTCGCCGTCTAATTGGGGGCTCCTCTCGAGTTCTAACCGGGACAGCAATGCTGTTGGCGCAGCACGACATTCGTCGGTTGCGTCTCCGCGTAATTGGCTGCGGCTCCCTTCTACTGGCTGTTGCTGATCATAGATTTTCGCGACTGATTCCTGGTCGGAGTTGTGGCGAAGCTCAGAGGGGGGGACTTGGCTAGGATACAAGTGCGCCAGCGCATCCTGGATTTTTGAACTAGTCACCGCACCCGCAATTGTCGCGACACCCTTCAAAGGCGTTGAGTACTGCCTGGGAGCGGTCTGTACATCAGGGCAGAGACGGATGCGCTCGTAATCGTCAGATGCGCCACCGCGAGCCCGCAGTGCACTGTCTTCGTCCTCCTCCAAAACAACAAGCAAGCGCCACGGCGAGGCTCTGCTTGCACTTTCCCAAGGAATGACCCGAATGTGGAACCACCGGCTTAGACTCTTCGCAAGTGAGCCCAACAATAAAGCAGTACATCGCTGGTCCCGTAAGGAGTCTCCTGATCTCCAGCGCGTCGGTGTAAAGAGACTCATGTCAAGCTGGTGTAGCTCAGCAGTACCAGCCTGCGAATTTGAGCTCCCTGACACATCTTCTGATGCCTCACAAAGTGCCTGGCTCGATGGGAGTGTGACAGTGAATGTAGAGCCTTCTTTCTTGTTTGACTCAATCTGCACATCACCACTCAGCATAGTGACTGTTTGCTTGACAATGGAAAGTCCAAGGCCAGTACCTTCTGCAATGGGATCCTCCTGAGAAAATGGGTCAAAGATTGAATGGCGGATGAAGCCGGAAGAGATGCCTTTACCGCCGTCTGTACAAGATATTTTGGTAGTAGCGTCCGTGAGATCCAGTGAAACTCGAATGCAGTTTGTCGGTTCCCCAAACTTCAAGGCATTATTCTCTCTTACGTCAGTACGGCTCATGCATGCGCTTTTTGTATCTGTACAACTTACTATAAGATTTGTCAAGATCGCCCGAAAGCTAGCGGCGGCTACCAGACGGCACGACCGATTGGCATTCGTGTCGAAAGTTATGATGGGATGATAGACGAGACCTTTATTCCATGAGCTCTGACCGGACTTGGACCGCCTCCACCAGTTTACTTACCATGCATCGAAGAATCAGGCTGGACAGCCTTTTTGACGCGATACCTGTGTACTTCACTGTGAATGATGTCCTCGCAGGTATCCATCAGCTTTACAGTATCCTTGTCTTGCGAGGAAGCTGCCGAATGATGAGGTGCAAGACTTGACGAACGGAGAAGCCCATCGTTCGATGAGTCTGATCTTGGTAGAGGTGCACTTTGCGACCCGGAACTGATGTTACTGAAATATAGAACGCGCTCAATAGTATCGAGCAATGACAAGCCACTGTATCTTGCCGTCTCCAGCAGGTCGCGTTGGTGTGCGTTGTGTGGTGTGTCCGCTAAAAGCTCAAGGCTTGATAGTATGCCATGAAGAGGTGTCCGCATTTCATGTGAGATCGATCCGAGAAAGTCTGATTTAATCTTGTCTATAGCTTGAGCTTCGAGACGCCGCACTTGCGTCATTATCGTGGTGCAGAATGCTGAAATGGAAGCAAGATCCGTCGAGCCGAGATAGACTCTTGACTGATTCTCGGCGAACCCGAGGACCGCACCGATATTACGTTCGTGAAACGCATCCCACAGTGGCATCAAGACGATCTGCTCTGCCCGCAGGAAGGTTTTCGAAAGCTCCTTGAGTATGAGGGTATCTTCAACTAAAGCGACGTCGTCTGCGCTCGTAGCAACAACGATGTCGCTAGTGTCATTGAGTAATTGGAACACAGCCCCATGTGGAAATAATTCAAGCAATCTGCTTGTCAGACTGTGGCTTAGTTCTTGAGGCCTGTGCGCTTTTGGTCCGAGATGCTCGGCTAGCACGTTGGAGCCGTTCCAGATGGGGTTCTTGTTGCTTGAGGAGCCCAACTCTTGGATGCGAACTCCGTCAAATTCGAAAGTATCGTAGAGCAATGTAGCTGAAAGATGGTACAGCTGCAGAGCTGCAGCGGGATAGAGGTTTGACACCAGAACTTCATGTTCAGTATGGCCGCCTGATGAAAGATTCTTGTGAGCAGGCTGAGCCGCCAGTCCTGCGCTCGTACCCATCTTGAGTAGAGAAGCCACACCTTGGTTGAACTTGAGCACACGCTTACCCTCCAGTGCTTCTACTGCTTGTTCCAGATGACGAATAATGTGTGACGCTGTCTCAAACAAGTACGAGCGGTGGGCGTCCGAGAGCCCACCGTGCGACGGCGTTGAGCTGAACGTGAACACAGTGCCAATGTTTGGTCCTCCATAGGGGTTCAAAGGAACACCAGCATAATGTCTGAACTTGGCAATATCACCCTGAACAAATGGGAGATGTTTGGTTCTCTCCAATTCAGCCATATCAAGCTCTTCGTAGAGTGCCATGCTCCCGCCTGGCTCATTCTGCCGCGTGATGGTACGCTCGCACAGACCACCGTGATGAGTTACCGACTCGCATCCGTACCATCGCGTTGAGTCTTCTGTGCCAATTAGACACTGCTAGAATTTGACGTATGTCCGCCATGCTGTTGATTCCACTCACCCAAGGTGACCTTGGCTTCATCTGCGTTGGCCCGACTGGCCCCCGAGATGAAGTATTGCGTGTGGTCGTCTAGCAAGCTGACCATGGCCAGATCAGCGCCCGTTTGATGGATGACGCAACGGAGCAACGCAGCAAGCGCGCCGTCTGGTTCATTCTTGACGTATCTGCCGTGTGGCTCCAATGGCCTGCTCGTGAGGCCAGCGTCCGAACCACGCACGTATTTGACGACAGATGGCAGCACCTGGCAGAAGCGTCGGACTTCCCATACTCGCGCGCGATCGCCGATAGTCGCTCGTTGCTGCTCGGTGAGTTCTGATATTGACATGGCTTGCGATGGCTTTTGTGGTTGTCGATGGTGCCCTCCACGCTGGTCGCACCGCCCACGGAGAACCCTGCAGACCGGCGGGGAAGTACCTAGGTACTTTGGCGCCTCGCCGGATACCTGTGCGGCCGCGATGTCGTCTCACAGGCTCCGAGTGTCAATATGGTGTACAGGATATATGTTGGTTTCCATCTGCCTCATCCAAGAATATATGCGCCATGTGCAGGCGCCTTTGTAATGTCCAAAGCTCTGTTCCGTGGAGTTTTCAAGCCCGAACTTGAAAGTTCGCCTCCTGGGGTCCATTTGTCGCACGCCGATGATGTCATTGGAATCGCACCACCGTTTCCGCGGCATTGCTGCGCTGTGCGACTCTCCACGAACCAATATCACGCCATGTGCTCGAGTTTCCAGGCTGTACACCAATACTTCCGTTCCAACATTCCTCTTATATGCATCTCCTAATTCACTGATAAGTTTTGGCCTTCGGCTAGTGAGTTCTTGGACCTAGGTACTTTCTGCCAAAGACCCTGCAAGACTCCAATCGCAACCAACGTTGCAAGCGACAAGAGACCAGAGATGGAATTTGGCGATGCGTGACCGACCTCAAGACAACTATGATGCTCTGGTAGCATCGATCGCAGCAAGAGGTCCTGCATATGCAGGAACTCAGGCGACGTGGAGCTTACTTCCTGTAAAACCATCGCGTGTCAACTTCGTCAGAAGCCATAGGGGGCCTACTGTTCTCTGAGGGTTATAGCACAGAAGTCTTAACCCCGAGGTCGTCTGAGAAAGCTTCCAAGGTTAGCTCCAGTTTCACGTCGAAGTGTCTGAACTTTAGGCCTGTTCCGGCCCCTTTCTCAGATACCTAAGCGCCTTCCGGTGAACACCACCTGCCTGGTAAGTCCCTTCCTGCGCATGGAGGCGTCGAAATAAGGACTGTAGTGTCGTCCGTCGTTATCACTCACCTTTAACACTGCATACCAGTCTGATCTCAGCCTTCAGCCCGGTAAGCATCAGTCAGATGTCACTCGGTTGGGCATTGTTGCCTGCAACTGATCGGTGATCTTTCCGGCAAACAGTGGGCCTGATATGTTCTTCAGCCGTCTGTAGCCATGCTCGCGCCGCCTTTTATATGCTTCTTTCTGCGTTTCGGGGTTTGCTCCGAAAGACCGTGCGTAACCGAAGGCAACACTGACTTGCTTCATCCCGGTCGAAGTCAGCGGGTGAAATATCTCGGCAGCTCAGATCCATCTTAGATGACGACATGAAGGTCATCCATAGTACATGCGGGATGAGGGTCTTATCACAAGGCGACCCCGGGACATATGTGATAATAACCTAGCTTGCCTCAATGCGAACCACTGCTTCTGCATAGTAAGGCGAGTTCTAAGTTAAGGTTATAGCTTAGCTACCTAAATATGTGCGCACTTTACAGACACCGAAGTCCTTCAGCCTTGCCATGTATACACCACTCCTTCTAGCCCCCAACGCTAGTGCTTACAACTTGTGTCGATAACCTCTGGTTTCGCGATCGCTACGACGTCGCCTTCTCGTTTTACTCGTTTTAATTTAGTCCATGGGTGTTTCCTGGTAAATCAGTCAGAAGGAACCTTCAGAAGTAGGAGATCCAGGTGATAATGCAGCTTAGGGCTGCCTAGGTGTGCACCACCGTGGGGTCCGCCATCAGACTGTATCCGGAGAGCTAATATAGACCAGAGGAACTGCGACGTCTTATCAACATCTTTATACACGATGTTGCCCCAAAGTCGATTCCAAGCGGCCCACTCCCTCGCGCCTCGGGTTCATTGATCAGCGATACGCTATTCTATCCATCAAGAAGTCCGCGCCTGAGGTCGTGCGAGGTTGCGTGTGATCAAACCAAGCTTACTTTGTGACTGTACCATCTTTCGATTACCTGCTTCTTGAATCAAGGTAGGGTACGGCATACTGCACCTCGCGGACTAGCATCGGGTGCAGCCGACCAATGTAGTGCGCTACAAGCCGGTAGTAGCAGGTTATGGTAGGGTATCTACACTTTGTCCTTCACTGGGCTTGAGGGCTGACATGCAGGGCACAGAATGCAAGGTGTATCGGCCCGCAGGCACATAATATAGTCCGTAAGTATTGCGAACTGATTGGGAGCCTTCCGGCGAGCAACAGAAACAACGACATATGCGACCTCTGGACCTTGTGAGAACAAGGCTCCATCGCGGGGTGGGGCTCTAGTCTTTGAGGTACCTAGGTAATCGATCCGCACTCGTAATTAGTAGGCATCGGCTTCTAACCCCGTATACTGTCTTTGACATGTCTTCACAGTATTCTTGGACACTCAAATGGGATTGGCAAATTTAAGTGGATTGATGTTCCCGGGTTACTCTATGAGAAACGGCGTCGCAAGGGCTATTGCTTGAGGGATACACAGGTGTGAGAACGTGGCCCTGATTCAGCCCTCTTCGCGTCTTCGACTCATTTCTGGGTCAGCCTTGTTCCAGTTGCCCTTCTAGAACTGCTCATTGGCCTTTGATAGACTCTTGATACACTTGGACTGCCCACTTCGTCATCTCATGCATCGCAGTCGACGGCTGAAAAATAGTCTTTCAATGAACAAGAGGCCTCAATGGCTCACAAATTATGTCATGATATGGGTTGCTACTTGGTCGGCTCCGGTAAACACAGATATAAGCGGTATGGGTATGAGGGTTGTTGGGCCGCGGGACTGCCGTAGGCAGATTACCCCGCCTTGCGTACCATGTCCGAGGATGGCCCAGTTCTCTGGGCTCTGTATGACTGTTGGCCTACGCTGGGAGCAATGTAGCCGCTCCATCACTATCACATAACACGCCTCTGCTATGTTGAAACGGCCGTGGCTGGGACTTCTCCTGTGGATTCCAGCTGCATAGCTGTTCACCTAGTTCATCATCGATTAGTACGTACAGAGATGGCACACGTAGCGTAGAAACGCGTCAAATTTAATCATATGTAGTTGCTAGACTCGGTGTTGCGTGCACGAGAAAAGGTTCCAGTAATCCGGGGTGATCAGGGCGCATCATTGAACACCAGAAACGATGAAACATTCCTGTGATCGGCCTGCTCGTGCAGTTTCCCCTCATCAAACCGTACCACTCCCTTTGAAAGCCATAATGAATGCGCGTATACACTTATTGAAACGAAGCCCAGAAGGCATTGTGCTTGTCAGGCAACAGACTGTGTGCAACACCATGATTTTCAACTGGTTGCACATATGGGCTTTTCTTTCGCATGCTGACTATGCGCAGATTGAGCGGCCATCGAGATGCCTATTCAGTCCTCATTCGAGGGTAGTCTTGCACCCCACAATCAGCACATCTTTAGTGTATAGCACACTATGCTGAGTAGTCCCTTCAAGACGCTTCGCGTGTCGATACACGACATGATTTGGTCCAGAGAAAACGCCATGCTTTCTGTAACGGCCATGTTCAGACGACAGCGCAGGAGCAACTACGCCTGATCTGGTGTAGCACATACCGCTTAGTTTACGACAGCCAGCGGCAATGCCGGAGCTGGCTTGGTGATGATGGCTTGTGATCAAAATTCCCTGACCGTAATTGGTTTTCCGTTGCGAGATGATGACCATGCTGGTTCGTGCTCTATTTGACCTAGGTACGGTCAGCCAACATGCGTATGGGGAGAGGATATGAGTGTTTCAGGTCGCTATCACGGTTTGCCCGATTGCATACACCTAGATCAACAGCTCATAGCACAATGATAGTGCGCTTGATTGGTTGAGAGTCGTGTGCGCAGTGCTTCTTGGTATTACGAAACGACTTCAACAATGGTCGCTGTGAAATTCGCGTCTACCTACAATTGGATTATTCCCTGAGCGATGCCTGACCGGACCAGGAAGGACTTGTTGTTCTGCCGCACCAGCTGGCGAAGACCCAAGGCAAAGATATTGTTGTTGGTGGTAATGGGATTGGTTACTTGACCAATCGCATGTCTTGATGTGTTTGGGCCCTGATGCATATAGGTGACGAAAAGAACGTAATGGCATTATATCTTTCGACCAAAAGGGCATGCATTGAGGCGCACCGGTCTTTGGGAATATGAAGGTTAGGACGCGTCTTAGCAGCCTTCACTAAGCGCTTGCCGGCAATGCCTTGTGCCTCGTGTTTCGTGAGAGGGCGCAATGAGCGCTGTGTGTCTTCGGGCCAATACCGATAGCGTGGCCACCATTCATTGGCATCTATGCTGATACCAGGTAGGTAATCGGGGACCCGGCACATAATGGCCACGCATCGGTTGTGGAAGCAGTATCGTCCCGTGCAAGCGTTTGTAGCGCCCACGATGATCGAGTCGTCGTCCAAGCGGACTGTCGGAAATTAGTACTGATACAACATACACGGCGTACATGTGACACCTTGCGCAGGCAAACAGATGACACTCCCTGTTCGTCGGCAGATCTGCTATGTACAAGGCAACACCCTGCATTCTGGTGGGACCAAGGACGTAGGCCTCGAAAATTCCATCCCGCTTCATAAAATCTGAGCAAATCAGTCCTCGTGTACGTTATCTGGCTTCGGCTTACGATGACTGTCGCAAGGTCTTTTGCGGGGATAGTTGGCTTCAGATTTGAAGCGTGAGGATGTCGCAGACGCGTCAGTATTGACTTCGCGGCTGTGTTGTGGCTAGGGGAACTCTCGACGATGAGCTGAAATAAGCAAGCTGTATTCGCACAGAGGAATGAAGCCACCCGACCAACGCATGGGCTTCAGCCGCATGTATGGTCTCTGCGAGCCTCGCAGGTATTGCCTTCCACGAGATGGAGGACTACACGGTACATGCACGCAGATACGCCGGAACATGTAGTTAACCGGTGTGAGGCAGAGTCGGAAAACACTATGGTCTACGTTGCAAGACTTGCCTTGCCGTATGTGAGGAGCGCTGGCACCCACGGCATTCGATGGATGAACTTTTGATGATAAGCGACAGTGTCTAGGTATTCATTGGATGGATGGTGTATGTATGCATGGGCATGCCGTTCCGGGTTGCTTTCACAATGTGGAACGCTAACCTCGATGGAGCAGACGAGAATGTGGGGCTCATGTGGCCCCCATCATGGTGATGGCGAAAGCAAGCAGCAGAGCCGCAGACGGAACGAGCATAAGTAGGCAACGACCGCCCACCAAACCGAGCAGGAGGTTTCTTACAAGTAGGCGACGTGTTGATACCAAAGTCGACGACGCCCTTTGAGGCAGGTATAACGGTGGCGTGCAGGAAATCATGTCCGGTGCCCAGGGACGTTTGCCTTCTTTTGCCTTGTTGCCTAGTAGGCGAACCACAGCAGAGCCGCATCTTATATTGTGTTAATGCCCACCCTGGGGGACACTCCCAAGATTCAATCTCAGTCTTCGAGTTGGAGATCTTACGTCAAACAGCTTTTTTCCTCTATTTCTGCGTTCTGTTGTACGCGAGGTTGCTGTCCCTGTCGTCCCGGACGTCGCATCTAGCCAAACCGGAGGCCTCGCACTACCTCGTCAACGTACGCAGTCCGACCCCTTGAACTTGAGCGCAGAGCATCGGACGCGTATGCGACAGTGTACAAGCTTGCCGGATCTTATTGGAGACTGCGTAGTCCAGGTCATCAGGATACAGTCCACGCTGAGGCTGGGTGTGCGCGCACGAGTGGGTATGTGCGCTCCAAAACTTCATCCAATCAGATCACATCGCTCCCCACGCCAAATACGGAGATCGGAATACGAACGCGAATCCTACACCTGAAACATTCAGCCGCATTATGGACACCGGTGAACTCGTCCAGACCAAATTCGCGCAGGCGCTGAAAACTCAGAGTCCAATCATCAGGGCCCACGCGTGCCCTTACCCCGGTCATGAGGGACGCGTCTTTCCGAGTGCCGACCAGCTGTATGACCACGGCAAGATAGACCATCGCGACGAGTTTGAAGGCTTGTCTCCGCGACAGGCAAGAGAGAAGTTTCGACAGCTAAGCCTGAAATTCAAGTGAGTACAGGCCAAGCTGCTGTACAGGCATTTGCTAGATCAGCGTTTAATATGGTTAGCAGATCTGATCACTCGGCAGCCGCAACTGTTGGAGACCGGTCAGCGCCTGATATCGCGGCTCTTACTATAGATTCTGGAAAGGCTTCCAGGCAGAACTCACCGCCCTCTGGAAGGAAACGACCGGCAGAACATGACTTCACCAGCCCCAGAGGGAAGGGTCCGTCTCACGTGGAAGTGGCTGGTTCCGAGTTCTCTAGGCAAATTCCACAAACTGTTGTTTCGGAAAGGACACGGTCGAGACCACAGGATGCACGCCTTTTTGATCCTAAACAAAACGCCAAGTCTACCTCGTCTCCATACCAGACGACACCCGAGCCCTCCAGCGAGTGGTCAGCCGAAGCTACGAAGAGCAGTCACTTACAATCACCGCAAACTCAGTCCCCTGCTCATACACAGCAACGAACTACTCCTAAGCCCCAACAATCTCAACGCCAACCAGGTCTTATAGAACTTCAACGCTATGATCCCCGATACCCTGGTTTACTATTGCAGCCTGATAGTCGACCCATCTCGCAAGAGCAACTTGCGTCGGAAGTGAAATCTATTTACGCAGGATTAACCATGGTGGAGACCAAGTGTATACATGTGGATCGCGCACAAGCCGCAGCTGCGCAAGATGGTGATACCAAACTTGCGTCGGATCATTGGCAAGCTTTGATCGCTCTTCACCGGACGCTATTACATGAGCATCATGACTTTTTCTTAGCTAGTCAGCATCCCTCTGCATCGCCGGCTCTCCGACGTCTTGCCGCCAAATACTCGATGCCTGCACGCATGTGGAAACATGGTATCCATTCCTTCTTGGAGTTACTTCGGCGGCGTCTTCCTGACAGTATAGATTATATGCTGGCATTCATCTATTTGGCGTATCAGATGATGGCTTTGTTGTACGAAACCGTTCCAGCTTTCGAGGATACATGGATCGAGTGCCTCGGAGACCTTGGCCGATATCGGATGGCGATTGAGGACGAAGATGTCCGGGACCGTGAGACTTGGGCAGGCGTCGCGCGCTCTTGGTACACCAAGGCTGCCGATAAGAATCCTACTGTGGGTCGTCTATATCACCACCTCGCTATCTTGGCACGACCAAATGCTCTCCAGCAAATGTACTACTACTCTAGGTCTCTGACCTGCGTCAAACCATTCCAGAGCGCGCGAGAGTCAATCTTGACTCTACTGGATCCTATTCTTGGTCGTGCAGGCGCACCTCTCACACATGCCTTAGCGATCGACACCAACTTCATCAAAGCACACGGGCTGCAATTCGAGGAGTCTTGTGTGGACACGGCTCAGGGGCAGAAGCATCAGCATACAACTGAGTTCATGGACGCGAAGGCGGACTTCATCGGAAACCTGGACAATCACATTGGTCGTGTGACAGCAAAATGGAAGGAGCAGGGTGTATACATCGCGGTTACCAATATTGCCGGCTGGTTTGAATACGGGAAAAACGACAATCTTCTTCGCCAGATTTTGCTGCTTCCGATCTGGGGGAGAGCAGAAGATCCTCAAAAGGCGACCGAAGACAAGATTCGGAGTGCATCTCCGGCTGACCAACAGAATCCAATGAAGCCTTTAATTGCCTCGAGTAAGCCCGAAGATATTGAGCAGGATATTAAGAAGGCAATGGACAAGTTCAAAGTCCTTCAGACCTTCATCAACGCAAAATCGATCACGAGGGAGACGTTCGCTCTCGTACTCCGCCGCATCGGCGACAAGAACGTGCTTCCTCACGTACACATTATGCTCGCTTTTCTTTCTAGCTTTGCTTCCAGTACATACGTTTCCGATCTCATTGAGGACGCGCCTTGGGCCGAACTCGTTGCTTTCCTTAATACGTTGGTCAAGACGGAGAACCAGATCCAGAGTCATTCACAAAGCCATACGCCCAACATCGATACAATACTGGCTTCCGGTGTATTTCCTGGGGAGGGCGAGAGGGGCGACGAGCTGCCTTTGCCTGAGGATTATCTTGTGCGAGGCTTGATCTGGGCAGACGATTACTTTCCCATCAAGTGGTTTGAGAGAGAGCATGACGAAGAGGAGCGATATTTGGAGTTGGCGAGTACAGTCAAACATCGCATGGAGAGGGTCTTGAGACTGGGCTATGCAATCGCAAAGGCAAGTACATGTTCTGCTACTTCACCTTCTTTTCTCTAACTTTGCCCTAGCATCAAGAGTGGATCACATACGCTAAGGACTCTCATACATTTTCTGTCCGGACCCAATGACGCCGGGCGCCCCAAATCGGTTTTGTGCCTACGCTTGATTCTATGCAATAGACGGTACATGTCTTTTGGTCACCCAGAGTGAGTCTGATGCTTTTTCTACACCACACCATTCCATGCGTAATTGTGAAGGATCGGACGTGCGCAATATATGGGCGCATTATCTTTTCGAGATTGCATGCGTATGTCCAAGTGTTCGGGGAAAGAGAGAATCATAAATCCAGAAAGAGATATTCGGCGCAATAGCTCTTGATTATTGTTATACGCTCATTATCTGGTAAATCATCGCTCGGTGCAGCACTGGTAGGATACAGCCAAAGGAAGTGCCAAAGCTGGGCCATGATCGTTTGCAAGCAACATAAGTGAAACACACAAATTTTATACGTTCTTCTATTATCTTGTTCGTGATTTTGTAAGGGTGACAAGTGCGCCACGCCCCAAGGATTTTCTAACAAAACTTCATGTTTGCCGGGTGACCCTGAGCTCTTTGGCAGATCTGCATCGGTAATGCCTGCCTCTCACTCCGCTCTGGATATAGAACCAACTTCATCAGAACGTCGCCTGTAAGGTAGACGTCGTACAGGCCAGGCACACCACCCCACCCAAGGTCGATGTCGTCTCTGGAGCCCGGGTTTCCGGGCTGAAAGTGTACAACTTCGTAGCTAGTAATATCACCCTTCCGACTAATTTCATACTTCCCGTACTTGTTTTTTTTTAGGCGTAAAGGTGCCCAGGACGGAGGTTTTCAGCGTTGTACCAGTGTTTCTAAGGACGGGACATGGCAAGCGAAAACAAGGTCCCTCATTGGTTCTGTACATGTCTCGAGTGAATCGCGGTTATGTGCTCAGGTTGGAGTGATTGCGAGATCTCATAGGCAGGGATGCTGAGACAGTCTTATTTTTGTGCTTTTGAGAGTGTGGCATCACATCCTGCATTTGCGGCCGGTTGTATGCAGCTTATGCATACGCATGGTATTTGATAGCGCAGTGACGATGGAAAGGTGCAGGTGATGGAAGTTGCGATGCGTTGGGAGGTGTTGAGTCGGAGAGAATCGGGATGTGCTGAGATTGGCGTTGGCGGACGGTAACGGCTTAGCGCCAAAGCGGATCCCCGAGCTGGCGGGAGCTGAGCAACTTTTCGAATCAACACCCTCTGAACCTCACGGCATACCCACGGCATACCCACGCCTCCCCCTCGGCTGCTTCCCCCACACCTCACAATGCTGTCCAGGACAATCAGGCGGAGCATTGCGTCGCCCCTCCGCCGCAATGCCGTGGCCCCAGCAGCGCGACCCGCCTTCAGGTTCGTGACGACGGATGCGGCCTCATCGCACACGGACCCGGCCAATGTGCCATCGGTAAGAGGACACGCAGGCAGCCAGCCGTGTGGCTGTGGAGCAAGCAATGGACCGTTGACTGTGTGCAGGAGGACGACAAGCCGTTCGAGATCCGCCTCTCCGACGAGGCCTTTGAGACGTACGAGCTCGACCCGCCGCCGTACACAATGAACGTCACCAAGAAGGAGCTCAAGAAGATGTACTACGACATGGTCGCCGTACGGTAGGAACACCCGCCACGCCGGGATGCGAACACGATCAGCGTCTAACAGGCAACAGACGCATGGAAATGGCCGCCGACAGGCTCTACAAGGAGAAGAAGATTCGGGGTTTCTGCCATCTGTCCACCGGCCAAGAAGCCGTCGCCGTCGGTATTGAACACGCCATCGAGCGCGCCGACCATCTCATCACCGCCTACCGCTGCCACGGCTTCGCTCTGATGCGCGGCGCATCTGTCAAGTCCATTATCGGTGAACTCCTCGGCAGGAGGGAGGGCATCGCGTACGGAAAGGGTGGCTCTATGCACATGTTTGCCCCCGGCTTCTACGGTGGTAACGGTATCGTCGGAGCCCAGGTCCCCGTCGGCGCTGGTATTGCCTTTGCCTGCCAGTACGAGAACAAGAAGAACGTCACCCTGGCTCTGTACGGAGACGGTGCTTCCAACCAGGGCCAGGTCTTTGAGGCATTCAACATGGCCAAGCTCTGGAACTTGCCCGTCATCTTTGGCTGCGAGAGTGCGTACAAACACCACGTGGACATGCGCCGGATTTACTAACACCCCGCAGACAACAAGTACGGTATGGGAACCGCCGCTAACCGCTCATCTGCCCTCACCGACTACTACAAGCGTGGACAGTACATCCCTGGTCTGAAGATCAACGGTATGGATGTCCTCGCCGTCAAGGCCGCTGTCAAGTACGGAAAGGAGTATGCCGCCGCGGGCAAGGGTCCCCTTGTCTACGAGTACGTCACCTACCGTTACGGAGGACACTCCATGTCTGACCCTGGAACCACATACCGAGTAAGTCACACCGCTCTACAACATCATAAAGCATGTACTGACGAACAATCAAAGACTCGTGAGGAGATCCAGCGCATGCGCAGCACCAATGACCCCATTGCCGGCCTCAAGCAGAAGCTCCTCGACTGGGGCGTTACTTCTGAGGAGGAGCTCAAGTCGATTGACAAGCAAGCACGTTCTGAGGTCGACGAGGAGGTTGCTATTGCGGAGAAGATGGCTGTCCCCGAGGCTACTGGCAAGGTACTATACGAGGACATCTACGTCCGTGGTTCGGAGCCTGAGTTCCTGAGGGGACGCATCCCAGAAGAGAACTTCTACTACACTGAACACGACATGGGTGGTGAGAAGAAGCCTGTTGCCAGGACAGCATAAAGCTCTTCGGCTTTTCACGGGGTCATGATTGGAGACACGGTTAGGTGATGGGAGGGATCTGTAATTCTAGGATTTAGAGGCTTCTACATGCGTGTAACAGCTAGGGAGCGCGGTCTTGCATTGAATGACATTTCTTAGAATCCCACTCAGTTTTGCTCTGTGGGGTGCACGTAGAGTGACGTTGACTTCGAGATGTGAGTTTTGAAAAAGGATAGATCATTCGCTTTTGTCCAAAGATGCCACTAGCGCCTCCGTGCGCCGGATCCCCGCAGAGAATGCAGTGGTGACGAGAACAATACTTCACGTGCTGAAGATGCAGTTTGCATAATATCTGGCATAGCGGGAGTAATAGTACATCTTCGTTGGCTATATATCTATACATATCAAACTCCAACAACCAAGACACGGTCTATGCTGTGGGAGGGTCAATGTGTTGTGTCTGACCAGCGAAGAACTCCTTTTGTGCCAAGCACCTCTCGCTTGTGCACTTTGGACACCTGAGAATCATCTGTGGGCTGCAAGCCTGCCCGCTCTGCAAATGTACCTTGGCGATGTTCGCGAGCGCTTCGATGAAGACGGGACTGTCGTTCAAGCTGTCGACACGTTTGACACCCTCGTGGCCTTCCGCATCCTCGCCAATGACCTCCTTGTCGAGTTCGTATAGTGTCTCGATATGGTCGCTGGTGAAGGCGATGGGTACGAGGAGCATGTCTGTGTGGCCCTTCTTCATGTACTCCTTGACAGTGTCGGAGGTTTGTGCTCCGAGCCAAGGTTGAGGGCCGACCTGTGACTGCCACACGAGACGATATCTGTACTTCATCTGGAGGCGTTGCATAACGGCGTATACGGTCGCTGCCACTTCAGACGGGTATGGGTCGCCGCGGTTGACAACGGTCATGGGGAGACTGTGTGCGGAGAAGAGAATGACAACGCCGTCTCGTCTCTCGACTGGGTACTCGGCCAGCTTCTTCTCGATGTGTTGGGCAAAGGCTTCAACCAGACCTGGGTGCGCCGGCCAGCGGTCAATCACACTCCACTTGATGGCGCCTTCGGGCTCCACCTCTTGACCAGTCTCTCCGTTTGCACGCTTGCCTTCCAGTCTTGTCCTCCATTTCCAGAGCTCGTTGAGAGAGGAGCCGGTGGTCGAGCAGGAGTATTGCGGGTACTGTGTGAAGGCTACGGCACGGCCGCCCTTTCCTCCTCCAAAGCCGTCTGCTAGCAATTGCTTGTAGGTATCTTCGGTGAGGGGATTTGCGTAGCGGAACGCGACATAGGGCTTGTGGGGAGCAGTTTCAGGTGAGGTCTTGTCGAGGATCTTGCACATCTCCGCGGCTTGGTATTCCGACCATTTCCTGATGGGCGATCCGCCACCGATCTCCGCATACTGCTTCTGAATTTTTGGTGTTCGTCTCCGCGCAATGTAGGGGCCAATATAGTTTTGGAGGGGTCCGAGGGGAATCAAGTCCTTGTCGGCCTACACTCCGTAAGCTGAGAATCGATGATGCGCTGGGACCGATTACGTACAAACAACATGCTCAGGAAGCCATGCACTTCATCCGTTGTTGACGGCCCGCCCATGTTCATGAAGACCATGGCAGTCGGCCCCTTTGAGCCGGGCGTCATCTGCGTAGGGGCGACTGTCGCGTTGCCTCTCCTCCATTGTGCACTGTACGACGAGATGATGGATGTGGCGGGTGTGGTGGACGTTGCACGCTTTGCGGCGCGGGAACAGGATACGCGGAGAGCCATTGCGAGGTGTGTGACGAGAAAGAGGGCGTCTTCCCGCAGTGATGTGTCGAGGAGAAGATGCCGAGGCCAGAACAACAGCGTGAATAATGCTCGGAAGCGCAAGTCGGAGAAAGCTCTGGCCAATGGCAGCAGTCTTGTTGGCCGTTGATGACGATCGTGGCTGGCGATCGGACGCTAGGGTTTGCCCCACAGCAGCCTCGCAGACACGTGCCGACGTGTTGGAGCTAGTGCGCGCGTTCCGCTCTGCTGCCTAGGCCACTGTCCCGCGTTGCACCGGCCTGTGCTTGACAGCCTGCTGCGGCCCCAATGCCACAGGTGCCATCGCCCAGCTGAGCTGCACTTCGACAATACAGCAAGCAAACCTCACTCGAGCTGAACGCGACCGGCATTATGGCGGCTCCACAGGACAATCGACCACGTGAAGAAGAAGACGAAGAGGAGGAGATTGACGACTCTGTACGCTCCCGTTCCAGCTTTGGCATTGGCAAGCGTCACTGACAGCATGTAGAGCTACAAGACAATCAA